CTCTCAACTTTCGATGACTTGTAAACTACTGGCAGTCCCTTTTTTCGGCGAAGTCCGTTGCGCGAGTGAAAAAAAAGTAAAAGAGACAAGAGATTTTAACGCGCTATGCGGAGGTTACGTTTCTTGAACCTCACTCCCAGAGTTTAGCGACGTGGGAGTCGATCTTATTTCACAAACAGCAGTTGGTTCTCGATTTTACTTCCATATTTGCGTGCATGAAGTGTGACGAACTTATCGTGACGTATCAAAACTCAAAACGTAGAGGATATTTTGGGTTATGTTATCGTTTGCTATCAAAAGTTGACAGCTTTGTCAAGCAATTCATAACTTTTCAAGCACCATGTGAACATCACTTGCTGTTTGTTCAACGCTTGAAAGTGAAACTTTGAGGTGAATTTGTCATGCTGCAAAGATGGACGCAAATAATAGTGTATTTAACCAAAATAACATTTCTTTTTCGACGAAATAAATAAAATGACTGTTCTTAGTTACAATGGAGTTAATGTCACGCAACAATTGTTTGATTGATAACAAATCAAAATAGAATGTTATCATACTGTTAAAGCGAGCAAATTTACCAAAAAACGTATTTCACTGCCGTTACGACCAGAGTCAGAGCGACGAGGCAATAATTTGATTTATGATAAACCTACATAAACATAATGAAAACTAGTGCATGAATAAAACCTAACGTGTTTGAAGGTAACCTGTTTTCACTTGATAAAAATATGGGTATGTTTCCATATTAAACCGCAGTCCGATGAATGTTGTGTTGATATTCTTTCGAGTTGTGTCGTGTCTATTTTTGGAGGATCTTGTGTGAATTGCCAGCATTTTCGTTAGCACTCATAGACGATATCTGCATACATTAGAATGACCTTAAAATAGGCAAGGCTTTGCTACTGAATGATGACAATACCCCAAAAGCGAAAACAAAAGCAAAGGCTGCTAAACTTTCAGTTTTTAGGAAATTTTCCACGACGGTCGCTACTTTTACAACTTTATGCTGAGTGTGCACGTGCTTGTAGAAACCCAAATACCCGATCCACGTCAAAATCTCGTTATTGGTTCCTAATCATGAATCATGACCAACTTCAATTTCACGTTAAATTTTGATTTGGATTCACGAGGAGAATACAACGATCTCTACCACAACAGCCACAGTACAATATTTGCTATAGATCTACAGATCTAGGAGCTGCAAACAAGCTGCTTCCCCAACGTGAATCAAGTGAGTTGATCATATTTTACTCCAGCCTCCCCATATCCCCGTAATCTAAGCTGAAGTGATATCTCTGAGAAAAGGTAAACCCGAGATATGAAATCCTGATTCACTTTTCTGAGTCAACTGCAAATACGCGATAATTTCAGTTGTTTATATCAACAGAATCGATACTTTATATTGGCCACCGCAAAGAGTTTCTAAAGCTGACTTTTTCACCCCCAGCCTTTCCTCAGAGCGAATGAAAATACCCAAATCAAGGAGGCACATGTATATGAAGACAAGTTATTTTGAAGTTATAATATTATAAAATAAGGAGAGGGTTATGAGCACTTCATTAAATTCAACAAAGCCATGTGATCAAGATCATCCCCAATTGACGCACCGTCGAACCACGGCACATAGTAACGTAGCGAGAGGTTGTGTCGGGTTTAAGTTATTTGGAACTGAGTTTTTGAATTTAATATTTTTTATTAGTATTATTATTAGCTTTGAAGTCGTTGAAATTCGTTATTTAGAACGAATTCTTTGCGTTCAATTTTGGCGTGACTAAGTAAACATATACCGCTAAGACAAGAAGAGCTTTCCAAAACCATGTCTGAAAACAAGAGTGGAAAACGGAATGTTTTGGTTTAACTTGACTACTGCTCGTATTGAGAGATTAATAAGGGGTGGCGCATATAGCTCATTTTATGGCCTGCTTTGCTTCCGAGAAATATGTTCAACCCGTCCGGGGTAAAAATTGCAACACACAAGCGAACGATTGCTCAAAATCGCCTTCAGGCTTTGAGATATGACTTCAGCTATCATTTTGTTCATATTTAACTCGACCAAGAAAAAATTGCGACATACGAGTATCTCTCACCCTGGGGCTGAAATATGCCTCTTCTGAATTGGAATTATCTTTAATTCGCTTTAGTTAGTTCTAAGTTCGCACATACACACACAAAAAATATACTCTGATATTTGTTTTCAATTCGTATTAGGCCAAATGAGATCCTCACCTCATATCGCGACGCTGTTAAGATTCAAGGGACCACGTACAAACCCTTAATCTAAGATCAATATCATGTATAAAATGATATAAGGCTAAAAAAAGTCTTGACTGCCGCACGTATTAGGAGACTAATAAAGGGTAGCGTATATAGCTCATTTTGTGGTCTACTTCGCTTCCGTGAAATATGTGCAACCCATCCGGGTTACAATTGCAACGCACAAGAGAACGATTGCTCAAAATCGCCTTCAAATCCTGGCTTTGTGATATGACTTCAGTTATCATTTTGTTCATGTTTAACTCGACCAGGAAAAAAATTGCGACACACAAGTGAACGATTGATGAAAATAGCCCTAAAATGTTGGCGTTGAATATAGATGAAGTTGCCAAGCTCTGTGACTACGTGCGCTGATCAGATCGATAGCTATTATGGTATTTTAAGAGCTGAAAGTCAAAAGCGTCGTTATTTTAACTCCAGTCTTTCTTTATCGCCACCGAACCGGAGATGGTAGTAATTATATCCAATCGCACGTGCTTAAAATTCAACTTACCGAGTACGTAGCTAAATTTCTTGCTGCGCGTAACACCACTCACATTGACGGTACTTTCGTTTGGGGTACTTCTCTGGTAGAGTTCGCTCTGTGGAATGGGGATATTGAAGCTATTTTCAGAAGAATTACCATTTCTGTTCGCCATCTTTCTATTCCTGGGTCAACAATAACTCCATTTGACTACTCGTGATTTCGCTTTCTACAGCACAAAAGCGCAATTGTATAGACTAAATATAAGATATCTTGAGAATCAAATCTACTCGTAAGGTTTCACGAACATACGAGAAAACGTGTCGACTCACCAGTTGGAAATTGCACGCAATAATAAGTTCCTGAAGCTTCCTCAAGATAGACAGGAAATCTTTTCACCTTGGATGAAAGCTATTGGGCAGATTCGGTTTCCGGCAATGATTTGTAACGGCTTTATATACAATGGCTTCATACAACGGTCTGATGATTACCGACTGAGTGATTAGTCACGCAGGAAGCATCAGCGGTAAGACACTTCAGGGGTCACGTACTGTCCTGGTGCTTTAAAGGTCCGAAAAGTATTTTCATCTCACACTAACATCGCTAGCTCTTACACTCGCTTTTTAACAAGCATTCTTACTTCTCGTCGCTTCTCATTACGACAACAGTAAAAGAATAAGCGCGCTATGTGAATGAGTTGGACACGGGGTTAGTTTCTCAAAAGCTTTGGTGTTGTGTCGATGGGAGAGTACAACAAGGTAATTTGGTCAGAGCTATGCCGAAGGGCTAACGCTCGAAACGACAGCTTTGAAACTCTTAATCACCAACTTAGTTGATACTACCAAATTACCTATGAGTGGTTTGCGTAGGAAATATTAATGATAAATTGTGAACTCATCAGTATTTTATAGTCATCAGTTTTAATTTAGAATTCACTCATGATTATGATTGGTTGAGAACAGAGATTAAGCCATTTTTAGCTCGTGTTTCCTATGCTATATAGTTGACCATATTTATTCAAACGAACGCGGTGGAGCTCGTTTGATCTTTCCGCGTCCTGAGGGCGGCGCTCATTCAATGGCAGCGCTTATTTAGGGCGGCGCTTATTCTGGGACGAAGGTTATTGAAATGTTGAGTGCTTCACACGTGACCGCCATTAAACTCTGAGCAGTCCTGTCGGCGAAACCTGTCGCGCGAGTAAAAAAAAGCTCAATGGAAAAAAATTATGTTGACGCACCGCTCGTAGTGAGGCACTTAACATCCATAGCCCGCGCGGTGCACAAATAGACCTCGCCCAAAGAGGACTGCTCGTAATCCTATGATCACCGTGGCATGGATTTCTTCATACTTACGCATCTAAATGACATGGTCTACCCGTGGAGACACTTCCGGTCTTGCAAAATAAAAGGAGCGATTTGAAAAGCATTGAAAACGTCGTAATTAGAGGAAGGTACAAAATTCCTTTGCAAATATTTTCATTTTCATCAAGCGTCAATAACTGCGATTTTCAGCGATAGCACTGTGCGAGTACAAGTTCATTTAAAACATCAACCGTGGTTTATCTCCTTTTTAGTCCTGGAAAAACACTGGTCTACGTCACAGTCTCTCGACTATAATGCTTATGTGAGTGCAAAATTCCTTCAAACGAATGACCTCGCTGGTCGTTATGGTCATTGAAAAGACCCATGGCGGAAAATTAACAAGTTGTTTTTTACTTCGTTTTCCAGTCTTCTTGACTCATTTCCAAGCAAAGAACGACGCTTTGTTTCGTACATTCTGCTGGTTCTCAAAACAGAGTGAAGCACCCTGTTCATAAGCGCCCTCTTTCAAATAAGAGCTCTCCCTCTATGCACCAAAAGTAAATAAGTGCCCCGAGCGCAATCAAATCATTGCGGTAACTGAAGGACGTAAATCGGAAGATTTCATCACTGTTACACATATCCCGAGTAACACAATTGCGAAACCACCAAAGGTTTCGCCATCTAATACAAATTAGATTGATCAATTAGTTCTAACACTTGGGAAATATTGCGGCAATGATCATCACACCTTCTGATTGGGTCGTGAAGAAGGCGCTACCCGCAGAGATGGAAGTGTGAATTCCTTCGAGCAATACCTCCTTACAGCATGTGTGAAAGAAAACGATTACTGCACGTTTGATATATCCTGCGCAATACGCCTCTCCAAGATAATGTTCCAATCCGTTAATTTAGATTTCCTGGTGAATTTACACCCCTAATAGAACGCGTACATATCAGAATTGATGTCGTTAGTTTCGTCAAACCTGCACAATGTGACGGGTGAAAGCTCTGACGTTACAGTAAATCTCGTATCTTCATGTTCTACAGTCGTGCAACATGGGTTTTTAAGGTAAGAAGTGCGCCGAATTGTGTATCTAACACTTTCGAAGATGTTAGATAAACTTCTTCTTCCAAAAGACGATTGTACGTTGTTACATCTACTAACGCTTTACGCTCGGGAAAACTAACATAACTTAGTGTAAAGTAACTTTCTATAGTGGAGTACGTCAAAACATAACTTTGTTTAGTAGAAGTAGAAGATGGACCGATATCACACAGCGCCATCTTGGATGGTGTGGCACACCACATCGAGCCTGGAGCTCGTTTCTCGAAAGTCCCGGTGACTAAACGGGCCCAAAGCCGTATTAGAATAGTCGTATAAGAAAAGAGAATTAAAATTTTGATTTTAAAACACGGCTTCGGGACCGTTTACTCACTGGGACCTTCGAGAAACGGGCCCCTTGACGGTTTAATGTGGCGCACGAGCCAAGATGGCGCTGCGTGATATCACTAAAGTAGAGTTGGCTAGTGGTTGATGTTTGCCGAGCCGCAAGGCAACACACAACAGAGTTAGGACAACAAAATTTATTTTTAGGATCTCTTAAACTGGATGAGCAACCCCAAAAATGGAGAAATAAATAGAAATGGTTTTTATGTTATGAACCAACCAAGATGGAAACTCGTACGGAATCGTTTGCTAATAAATTACTTTATTCCATTTGCTTTGCTTCCAGGACGACGTTGTGTTATCGTGACATTTGTTCTTTAAGCACTTTACAAGAAATGGAAGAAAATCCTCCACCTGATTTTCAACTGCCTTGCTTTTCTTCGTGGACAACATCACAATCTGTTCAAGCGAACATTCCCACAAGTGCTCCTCTGGCACCGAGGAATGGGCACGAGCAGCCTTACTGGTACCGGCCGCATTATATCGGGTGGCAATATGTCACAAGCGGTACGTTTTATATTGCGCACGAAGTTGAATATATTAAGAAGAAAAAGAGTTTATATTGTACACCCCACACTATTACCATATTTGACAATACGCCCAGGAATATTTGAAAAAAGAAACAAACAAACAAAAAAGCACCGGTCATTTCGTGTAACCATTTTTTTTTTCTTCAAATTCGAATGCGGCAAAAATTTCCTTAATATACTTTTTATAAAATCTCTCCCTAATTCTTTTTATTGAGTGTTTTTCTTTTCTTTTCCTGTTTTTGCTTTTTTTAAAAAAATTGCTTGAATTAACTGCTGCGTCAATTTTTTATTCCTTTTTCTCTTTTGAATAACTGTGAGACTGAGTTAGTTTCAATTCACTTGAGGTGTTGCCATAATATGAAGCCAATAACTCAAAAGAAATCGCTCGCTTATTATTATAATTTTTTTTAACAAGCACAAACAGGCTCAAGTACCTGGCCTGAAAGGAATTTAGAAGGGTGGGGGGAGGGGGGGAAGGAGGGAGAGAGAGAGAGGTTATTTATATTGTGGTAGAACGAGTGCATCACAATCTGAACCACTGCATCATAATCTGCTGTTTCTCAATTTTCGTTTTTCTGTTGCCTTTATTTATCTGCCTAGGTTCACAGGTGACTGAACAAGCTTCTTTTCATCAATCATCTTCAGCATATCATTTCACCCATCGCCGTTCTACGGGATGTCACACTACGGGATGTCACGCCTCGGAACGTCACGCTATCGGGTGTCAATTTACAAACTATTACTCCAAAGTCACTGAAAATGCCCAAGGTTTATCAAGCGGAGTAGCATACGACCATAGCGCATTTCCAAAGATCGTTTCAGTGCACTCTATGGGGGAAGAGAGTTACAATACCCTGCAAAAAACTACGCTTCTCTGTGGAGAAGAAGGTGGTGACACACCAAATAACCATTTTTCTAAATCTTCTCTTGCAATTCCGGCAACCTGTAACAACGATGCAGCAAGTTCTCGAAAGATAACTGATCATTCCATATCGACAATTCTTGACCTGCCTTCTGCGAGGAATTGCTCCTCTTTTCCTGTTCACAATGATGGCCTTATTGGTTCCCCTGCTGAATATGACTGTCCTAAGAACGAAACGAAAGTGAGCCTTCCATCTGACGAACACGATCAAGGAACAGAAGTAAGATACAGTATAGCTAAGGATGAAGAGATCAAGGTAAGCAGAGGTTCTGCTCTTTAAGCTCGTTCTACCACAATATAAATAACCTTAAAAGATTGCGTTCGTCTCAGAGAGCCTTAGGCTCTTGCAGTAAGGGGAAACTTGGATAATGAGTTTGAATTTGCACCATTAATCTCTCCCTACTTAAATGCCTGTGCTCAGGTCACAGAGAAGAGTGAACGATATGACCTCTTTGTTATGCCTGCGACTCTTCCTCTCCGAGTTGATCTTCGTAGAAGCCTTTGAGAAAAGACGTGTAAATGTATAAAAGACGTGAAAATGTATAAAATGTACAAATGGGCAGTGTCCTCAGTTTTTTAAGAACTATTTGACTTTCAATAAGCATTTATATAGCCGTGATACTCGCCAAAAAATTTAATCCATCTATCTTCGGTACGGACAGAAATTGCAAAACGATCGTTTTATTACTATGGATCCATAGTTTATAATTCATCAAAGTAGAGTAATTTTTATATACATAATTTTAAATTTAGAAATCTAAAGCCTTATAAATGTGTTTTATATCTTCATGTTTGTATTTCGCATGAAATTGTAATGTATTTTATTTAGTTTATACTCAGGGCTCCCATTGATAGCAGGTGGCTCTTTAGGGCTTCTGACGGGGCTACCCTGAGGTTTACTTTTGTTTTTAAATAAAGGCATCCATCCGTCGACGCGCGGAATTTGGAGTGACTATATTGTGCGCATTACCGATGCACACAAATAACGATAATAATAATAATAATAATAACAATAATAATAATAATAATAATAATAATAATAATAATAATATAATAGTAAGAATAGTGATAATAGTTATGATTTTAAAGAAATCGAGGGAACTCCCAACCAAGCTTCTTACCAAGGTCCGTGTGCGTTCTCTCTTTGATTAATGTAAGACCCTCTTACGACCGTGACGTTACCTTGTGAGAGATGCAAGTTAACGTATACGCCAAAGTCCTTAACCACGGACTAAGCCAACGATAACCACTAATAACCTGCACATAATTTCTACAGATAACGGAAGGTGAAATCAGCAACCCAAATTTCGTCGAAGGATTTTCAAACCCAGCTCTTCAGAGGCAAAGTAGTAATTTCACACTTGAAGAGGTAAAAGCTCTAGAGATCCCTAGCGAACCAACTCTACAGAAAGGCCCTTTGCGCATAACCTCGTCGAGGATCAAGGAAAATACACTGAATTTGCATCGCCTTCGGGAAATCAACAAAGTTCAGAAACGCCTGAAACGCGAATTATCAGAACGCCAGGAAACTTGCTTTAGTAAGGAGAATGAAATGGGACGAAAAGGAATTAAAATATTCGCAAGCGGCTCCATGAAAGGTTCTGAAAACCCTTTAAATTCCCCGCCTGTCAAAAAGTCTCGTCAAGCACCAATTAAGGAAAAAGCAGAAAGAGAAGAAAGCATGGCCGACTTATTGTCAGATGAGAAGCGTTCAAAGTTAAATGCAGAGATTAAAGGACAAAAGTCTTTGGGAGAAACCCTCAGCTCCGAAAAACTAAAAGAAGACTTGCCAAGAGATGATTTTAGGATGAATGTGTTCGAGAAATTGGCTCTGTTGAGTGAGAAAAGGAGGTGTGAAGATTCAACTTCGAGGAGCTCTTCGCTACACGATAGCGATTCGCAAAGTTCTGACAAAGTCAAGGTTAAAATAACCCACGAAAGAAGTAAAGATACAATCATCGAAAGGGAAGACGAGCTCCATACTTTTCGATCTAATTCTAAACGGTCGGCAGCCTTGGGAAACGACGGGGAGTCAAATGAAAAGATCGACATTTTGGTTATGTCGGATAGAACGAGTCTGACAGACACTACAACCGCAAGAACCATCCCAAACAATTGGTCGTCTGCTTACATTTACGAAAATCTGGACAGCAAGAACAGTTTTTATTTGTCAAAGCGAAAGTATGGTGGAGAAGTGAGTGGTGAATTTATCAAGAGGTGCTGTAATTCTTTGCCGAGGAAAGTAGATTGGAAAGCCAATAACAGTTTGGAAGAAGAACCATCGCAAATCCAAGAGAGTGTAGGTGAGGAGTAAGAATACATACAATGGACATGTAATACAAGGTATACTTTAGCTGTTCAAATATAAAAGTTAGAAATTTAGCGGGTACAAGGCACGTCTTGCAAAGACAACCATCAATGGCGAGAGAATCATCAGATACTTTGGTTGCGTCAAATACTAGAAAGCACTTGTGTCGCTCTATCTGTCTAGTATCTCCTGCTTTAATGTAGTGTTTGGATATTTCAGAGCTCGTAATTTATAAAACCATTTTTTGACAAGGATAAGCACAATTTAGTTATATAACTATAGATAACAGCCTCCACATATTTGGCTACGTTGTAACATCAGTAAACAATGTTCAGTGAACAAGCTCTCTCACGAGTCTTTTGGGCTGGTAGTTGAGGTGATGATGCCCCAATCTACAGGAGATATTGCTATGGTTGCCATGTGATCAGCCTTTGTTGTTCCATCGTTCCTGTGTATTTGTGTGCACCTTCTCGTTGATTTATAACATTAGCATCTCTTTAATGGTGTCCAAAACCCTCATCTATAAAGTGGCAGACAGAGCCCTTTTAATGGCACTCTTTTCCTCGGTAGATAAAGACGAAGAACAACTAAACATCCCACTCAAGACAGAAGTTTCGTGCAAAGGAGAAAACGTCGATCCTACACCATTTCTAGGGATTGTAAACAGAAATGGTAATGTAGGCAATCCCCGCCTGTTGTCCCGTCCCCTCTCTCAGTCAACGATTGTAAGCGATCCAAGAGCATATAGGGTATACGATGATGACACACTTCAGAGGAACATTGAGTTACGACAAAGCAAAATTAGCGACCTCCTGCGTAAACAAGAGGGACTGTTAGAAAAGCTGGGTTCAACACCTCTCCCGAGAAAGTAACTAATTCTCGTTCTTTTTGTTTGAACCCCTTCGTTCTTTCTGAGGTGTGCGTGACGGACGTGACATGTCACAGAACAACACGTCTCATCCCTGCTAAGTTGGTTGGATTTAATGCATTAATACGTTGTTGTTGCGCTAGTTGTGAACTGTGCTGGATGTTCGACGCATCAAACATTACTAGTGTAGGCTGTTTTATTTATTAGATATAAAATTTGCTCCATGACATAACTCGAGTATGTCGTTTTCGCCGACCACTCGGTTGAGTCTTAAGCGCTGAAAATGGTGTTATCACCGTTCAAATTCAAGCATCATGCAAGAAGTTCTGTGTCCTCATGGTTATGCAGGCTTGCTAGATAACCTCCAATATGCTTCTCTGATGATTATGAAGATATAAATTTTGGTACTTTTTCAAAGTTGTCGACCCAGGCCATCGTGTTATCTTAAAGACCTATTCTGTTTACAAGGGCTGGAACCAAACCCTCATGCGTCCAGAGCGCTAATCGTGAGACCACAGCATCATCAAGACGAGAAGGCATCATAACCAAGTCTTAAAACATCCATCTTCCATCCATAGTTTCTATTCTGTTTCCTCTATCAAATTTTACAATTCTATTCATGTTCGAGTTCTCTTTGAGTGTAATGTTCTTTTTAAATAAGTTTAAATCTCCACTTTCCTCTTATTGCAATTATATTGATAATAATTCTAATCGTTTGGTCTGGGTTGTATGGTATTATGGCTTCGAGTGCCCTCTGAGAAAACAGATGGACAAAACCGTTCAAAATAAAGATAAGACAACTGTGTCATTCCAATTGAATTTCGGAAAATAAAGCAAATCGTGGCCTAATATTTCGTGCTTAACTGCTGCATTATGTACAATTTCTGCAAAGTCTAAACGTTTGTATCAACGTTGCATTATAAATTCGTGGCTCGCTCTGGCTTATGGAGTCACGTGATATTCCTACATGAAAAGGTCGAACATCATTGGGCATTCGACGGCCAACATCAACTTGTGTCAGATGACTCCTTGGATGATTAGTCAAACAAATAATAAGCTTAATTAATATCTTGTGTGCATATGCCGTATCTTTTCTTCTTTCGCTCTTCGACTATGACACAGCTGAAAAATAAAGAGGAAAAGCGAACTGACCTCCATGCCATTGAAAAAAGACAAGCAAACGAAAAAAATGCCTCCAATAATGCTCCTACCTTTCGCTTCTCTAAAAATTTCTGTATAAATTCTTCAGGCGTCATACTCTCTGTTAGGAATACAACAGTGGTTCAATTAGTATTTCATCACTTAGCTAGTTTTAAGCAAACAAAAAGCAAGATTTCTTGGCGATGTGACTTTCCAAGAAGTAAAACACACGTACTTACTCGAAAGAAACTCATCAGCGATGGCCTTGAGAAATTAAAAGAAGATCCAGTTAGTTCCACTGCGAATGAAAACTAAGCAATTTTTATAATGCACTCATTTTCATATAGCACGAAGCATATAGCGACAAACCGAAGGAATATTTAAGCTGCAATCCAAGATTTGTTTTTATTTGTTTTATCTGCTTGATTTCCCCGTCTGTTTGTTTTCATCTCACCAAATTTCACAAAAGAAAAATGAAAGGCTGTATCTAGGGTACTTACATCCGATTCTTCTTCTGCCTGCGCTGCTGCTATTTCCAAGCGCGTTCTTATTTGGACCAGAGACAATACCTATCAAAATGTCCAGAAAAGAGTTTTGACATTTGACTTCGATGAATAGTTCTCCCTTGAAACGACACGATCTACACCGAAGCAACTATATCGTGAGTCAAAGGACAGAGAACGCACCAGCTCTTGGATGTTCTATGCTATAATGCGGTAGTTTTCTGAGCAATTGTTAATCGTGTATCGAAAATACTCAGGGATCAATTTGTTTTTGCTTTACTTCAACCTGCAATTGGTCCTGAAGACTCGCTCCATTTTCTCAACCAATCAGGTGCAAAACTGAAACAAATTATGACTTGGTCGCCCGCGTTTTACCGCGCTTTAGGCATTTTGGTCGGTTTGACCTTGAGTTCTCATTGGCTCTTACAGGTATTTTTCTTTGTTCTGATTGGCTGTTGCGACTTTAGTTTTGGTTTTACGACACTCAAAGCACTCTTTGGCGCCATCTCGAATCACGTCGCCACAAATAAACGCAAACCGGAAGTTTACGTTTACCACGACCACTCCATGGAGGAGGAGAATATTTATGTCAAGTAACAGCTTTCAGATTCCTACCACCTTGAAGGAGAAAGTTCGTTCAAGATAAATTAAAAGGGTACAATGTCCTATCGGTATTTCTAACAAAACGTTACCTCACTAAGCTCCTTCTGTTTCTGACTTTTGTTTGCAAACTCTCCTTTCAGCTCGGATACGCGTTCACACTGCAGAGAAATCGAAGAAAAAGGTAAAGAAAGTAGCGAGTCCTTGTAAACTATACTACATGTCTAAATTAGCAGCTTATACAAATTGTATGACCAAATCTAATAAGTTGAACGAACGAATAACCAATTTGTCAGAGGTAAGCAAACGAATCTTTGGGCTAAATGTAACAAGCTTTTACTGATAACAATTACTAAATTTACCTTTAATTTTCTTTTAACATTTCAAAACATGCATGCACCCTCTAACCCCTAGGAGTGACTAACATCTAATTCCCCCATACAACATCACCCCTGAATTACGCATTAAGGTCACAAGAATAAGGGAAATAAGCTCTTGACTGTCAAACAAATTCTCCTTGTCAGCACCTCAGGAAATGTGCAGGGAACAGAATGGAGAATATGCATACTGATGTTCGGATGTAAAGGGTTACACCCTTACTCCCAAGCTCTAGAAATTAGTACTTCTTGCTGCCTGCCACACACTTCTTGGTAAGTTCAGATAATCTGTGTTCAATCAAGTATTTCCTCTCAGTTGATGCCTTCCTATATTCTCATCATCTGAATGCCTGATATTGATTTGATATTGTAAAGAGGAAAAACTCGTTTGAAAGGGTTGAAGGTGTGGCTAAGATGGCATGATTACAATATTTTAAAAGAAATTTCAGTTTCCTGTACTTTTGTCATGATCTTAACTAAATTTGAGTTTGATTCAGAGAAAAAAAAAAAAAATATATATATATATATGTATATATAGGTAGTTCTCCCCTTTGCACAAAGTTAACCTTTTTACTCCCAAGGTCTCATTAGTAATTCTCCCTATTGTCTGCTATTCAATTCTTATTATGTTAGTTTAGAGAATTTTCTTTCGGATCTACAAATAATCCCTTAGCTAATTGATATTTCTTTATTCTCATCACATGTCTGCTTGATACTGTACTGATATTGTAGGGAGAAATTAAGTCTTGGTCATTCATGGGAGTTCAAGGGTTAATGAATGAACATTATCCGCTAATGTTACCTTTTTCAATAGTTCATCTTTACTACCCTCCAAAGTTGATTGAAGGGACAAATTAAACCCTAAAGAGAGATCAAACACAGATAGTTGCAGGACAACATTCAAAGAAATAATTGCAACAGGGAAAATTGAGAGAAGCCTGACATTTTATAACAAAATTTGCACAAAAGTGTACAGGAAATATTTAACAAAGAAGTAAAACAAAGGTTAAGACAGTTCAAAAGGAACATACTCGCTATTTCTTCATTTTTCTTCATCAATTCTTCTTTATCAGCCTCTAGCTTTTTCATCTGAAATTTCAAATTAGTAACTATGATTACCTTAATGCCACTTTGTTTAAGTCAACCAGATGGGGAAAGAATACTCCCCTCCTGGGTGGGGTGTTTTTCTTTCCCCACACCCCCCACCACCCTTTAATCACCACCTTTAAAAATCTGAGACCACAGGTCAGCTCTTTTGGATCAAGTCCCTTACCCCACTCCCCTAAATTTGACAATTTATCCATTCTTGTTTCATCCCAGTTTCCCTCTGACTGGAAGTCATGAATTTTCATGAAAATACCACCTTAATACAAATACTCATCCTAATGATAAAGTGGAGAAACACGTGGACTCAAAACTGATTGTAAACTTACTGATTCTAGTTTGACTAAAAATGCATCCATTACTTCAGGCTTATCAATAAGATCTTTGAGCTCCTCAAGACTGGGAATGAAAATGTAAATACAACCTTCAGTATCAAATACAGAAAGATGTTGTTTGTGTTTTGTCATTTTAAGCCTTACCTTAAACCATCAAGCTCTGGGAATGAGTTTGGCACTTTTGCTGGTTGAGTTGGCCTGGGGGGTACTGGTGGCCTTGATGGAGTAGTCTGAGTGATCTGAAAAATATAACGGAAAATAATGGAAATAAAGATGATGAATACTCCTAGTGTATACCAGTATTTATACATGCATTCCTTCTCTTTAAACTATCATTTCACTGTTATTATAGCATGTAATGGATAAATAGAAGTAAACATTTTAGTTAAGCCTTTTTGTCCTCGCAAAAACAAAACAAAAAAACATTTCTATACTGTTCTGTATAGACTTCCTGTCATGTTAGTACTGACAAGGAGAATTCTTTATTAACAGTTAAAAGCTCCTCTAACCAGCGATCACTTTGTTTATTCTCATGACCTAAATGTTTGATTCCAGGATGGTACTGTAAGAAGAGATTAGATGCTGGTGAGGTTTAGGTGTTAACAGTTGATCTGTTGTGGACATAATGTAGATTAAGAAGGGGAAACCCATTTACTGCTACATGAATATAATGCCCAGAGGCCTTGTAATGTTGAAATGTTGAAATTTCATTCGCCATCCATTCACAAAAAGAATTACAAATTTAAATCTATGTTTAACACTCAACCATGCCAGAATGTACCTGTGAGTTACTGCCTAGGTGTGGCATAGCCCCTGCACTGGTAACAGAGAGAGCAGAGTACTGGCTTACAGGTGAATTCAGTGAAGACAAGGAGGGTGTACTGGAAGGAGCAGTAGATTGTGGAGTATACTGGAAACCAGGAAAACTGGGAAAGCTGTATTGAGTTAGAGGCTGATAACCACTTGAACTTGCAGGGAATCTATGAAACAACAAAATCATTTCACTTGTTATTATTTTCATTAGTAAATATTCATAATATTCATATGTTATGTTAATGGTAGAAGACTGCACAGCATCTTTCAAGAAGGTCAAATGTCCTGGAA